CGACGCTTCACTTGCACAAAGAGCATCAAACGCCAGCCACCCCCACCTGACGGGCTCCCACGGGGCTCAAACGAACTACGAACAGAAAAGCACCACACAGATACGGGCGCTGCGACTATCGTCCCCTGCAGATGGGTCTGGTACGTGGAGTGACTGAAGAGAGAGCAGGAGCAGACGGTCAACAACCTAGGGAGAGGCGGCCAGAACCGTAACCCACCCGCGGCAGAGGGAAAAGCAGTGGCTTCCTGCTGGACGGCTCCCCGTCCTCGAGTCCAGCGTCCCGCGAGTCTGACCTCCTGCAGATCAGTCCCTGCTTGGACAGCCAGGAGCGCGTCCTAAGCGCGTGCTCTCGGTGACACCGGCAGCAGGTGGAAGGCAGAGACGGCCAATCCCTCACTCCCCCGGGCTCCTCCTCCTCAGTCAGGAAGCTACAAACGGGGAAGGCACAGCCTCGCCAGCTGCAGGAATCCGACAGTCCAATTTAACAACGCTTCGCCGCGGCTAAACAGTATCTCGTAGAACGGGGCAGACCCTGGTAATCAGCAGGTGAGCGTAGGTGCTCAGTACACAGGATTTAACACTGTGGACGGGACGGTCATGAGTCCTTGGTTGGTAATCATTGGTCATTATTCTGAGACACAGTTTTGAATTGCTGTGCAAGGCAGAGCTGCACGAACGAGTTACTTATGTGCCTAACTGATCACCCGGCGTCTCTGTCTCCAAGCGACGTGGTTGCTCCCTACTAATTACCTCGTAGGCCTCATATCACGTAAGGCCTGACCAGCGTTGCTTAGGTTTTCAGTTACACATTACCGCATTTTGCAGAGGAAATTGCTGATGAACGCAGCAATGCCGAAGGTCTCAGACGTGCTCTCTGCGTGTTGGCTCTGTCGGATTCTGTTTCAGGAGTGTATCGGAGAACCATACCCGAGCCTCTGCCCTGCAGCTGTGATGTATGGACCAGTTAGAAACTGGGGAAGAACCACCAAAGAGGAAAAGCTAATGCAACTGCGTTCAACTAACACATAATCATGTAACAAACAAATTTTTAAAAGATTAAAAAGTAAAAAGGGCTTAATTTATCTCATAAAGGTCAGCAGGCTTCTTTAGAACAGTTTACGAGGGACTGTGACTGTGTTTGCACTGAGGACCTCCCTCTGTAGCAGATTTAAATTTTAAAATAATAGTAATAATAATTCTCTCACTGTAAGTAGAGATACCAGGATAAATGAAACCAGAAGAGGTCTCGTCTTTCCTTGTCAAGAATCAGTAAGATTCTTGGCACCAACAAGAACACAAAAGCATCCATTCAGCAGTCAGGAAAGGAATTTGCACCGTGGAAGAGAGAAAGAAATGTGACTTTTTTTTAAAGAAAAGGAATGAAAATAAAGGCATATGAGGTTCATAAGAAAAAGAAAAATTTTTGGAAGTGTTTTTTGGGGGCAAGAAAAAATGAGTTTGTGTGAGTGAAAAATTCTCAACACAATCCATCAGATTATTTGTTTCGGTTTAAACTCCCTTAAAAATTAGTTTGAGCTCTCTTTTATAAATAAAATAAGGATCCGTAGCCAAGTGAACCTCCTTTGAGGAGACAAGTGAACGATGACGTGATCTCTCGATGTTCTATCGAACAAGAAATCCTGAAAACAAACGTCAACAACAGACAGCCTGCTTCGTGACAAACGGGAGCTGTAAGCAAAGAATCAGGGAAAGCCAAGTGACACCCAGCAGTCAATCAGATATTTTATGTAATTTCAAGAAATGGGAAATACACATGTTCAAAAGCAGTTAGTATTAAACTAAAAAGACATCTATGTCTCTTAAGAGCCAGAGCATACAAGATCCGATCCAATGGGACAGCTAGCTGCCTTCGCAAGGATGGCAGGTGTGATCTGACTTGGAAACCAGGTAACAACGTGACTCAAATCATGAGTGGGCTAAGGACCCCCTCATTCTTTATTTAATGGGGTTCCTGTTACAGACAGTGGCTGGGGTCAGCATGTTCCGGTGGGTCACAAGGAGCAGTCACAGCCTGGGCAGTGTCACTAAGATGCCTCTACAGGCTAAGGAGGCAAAAGACAAAACATTTACCTTTGCAAGGTCAGCCCGACCCTGTGGGATGATGTACGGTTTCCTTCGAGGATAAGCACGTCCAGTGTCCTCCCTCCTCCCTGCATGCATCATTGTGCCCCACGGGAACCTCCTGTCCGAGACCAACACCCCCCACCCATGTGTCTGTCACCCACCAACACCTGGGTCAGCCCACCTCTTTTCTTGATCGTTTTAGCCCTGGGCTTATCAGTGCCTTGCAGGGCTCCTGTCTCAGCTGTTGGTGATTTCAATGCACATGCGGATGAACTCCCCGACACCCTGGCCCCGACCTGGTCCTGCATCCTGCCTTTCCAGCTCGCTCTGTCTATGGCCCCAACTCCAACCATCTGCCAGGCCCGCGGAGACCAATAATCCACAGATCCTGCTAGTTTTCACCGTCCCCCACTCCCTACCTCACAGCTTCTCTGCCCTCCTTCCCGTCTAAACGCCACAGTGAGTATTACACCTGCTCCCTGGGGCACACCTGCAATCCCCTTGTTCCAAATTGGCTTTGCCTTATCGATTAAGCCCTGATTAATTCAAACACTCCATCATTCTACCCTCGCGCCCCAAAGCTGAACACAGCTAAAAACACGCACGCGCACACGCGCACACGCACGCTCACGCTGATTGGTCTCACTTTAAAATCCTCGCTAAACTCTGAAAGTGGACCCTGTGTACCGTCCAGCAACTGCACCACCTTCCTTGCGCCTTCACTCTCTGTCCTAGACTTTCCCTCATTTTCTTCTCTCCCCTAAGTTCCAGTATGTCCTTCCCCATCCAACCTTGGCTGCTGACATTGCTTCCTTTTTCCCTAAGAAAATGGGATGTTTCAGAAGCAAAACTTCACAAAAATCCCACCTCTTCTACACCCCTAGAGCCCCTGTGCTCACACACGCTGCCTTCCTCTCTGTCCCCTGTTTCAGGACGACCTCTGTGCTATGCCCCTAAGTCCCCCCGCCCCTGACCTCTTCAGACAGGGATCCGACAGCTTTTCCGTGTCTCTCCCACATCATCGACATTGCATCCTGCCCTGCACCATTCAGCTTAGCAAACGCACCGCGGGCACTTCTCCCACGTTGACAATGACGACTCCTCCATTGGGAGCCGTCACTCTGCTCCCTGTTACAGCGACACTCACTCGGAACAATCTCCCCGCACTCTCTTCCCTTCTCCATTAACCCACGCTGGCCAAGCTTGCATCCACCGAAGCCTCCCGTCAAGGTCAGCCGGCCCTGAATGTTGCTAAAGCCAGCGGTCAGGACTAAGCCCTCCTTGCTTGACCTGTGGGCATCCTCTGACCCTAGACCGCCTCCCTCCACCTGGGAGACCAGCCTTTCTGCACCTCCTTGCGGCCCCTCCTGCCGGTAAGTTCTCCCTCCAGGGGTCCATGTTCTCGCTTGTGGCTCCCTTGAAGTCCTTGGCAAATGTCTCTTTCCCCGGAAGCCTCGATGACCACCTTATTTAAAACTGCAACCCTTTTCTCTCACGGTGCTCTATTTCCCCCCAATAGGACCTACCATCTTTTAACATGCCGTGTAATTTACTTATTATGTTTCTCTTCTTTCTCCTGCCACCTTCACTAACTATATGAGCTCCACGAGGGAAGCAATTGTGTTTGTTTTGTTCGATGTGAATAGTGACGCACATCATCGGTGCTCGGTAAACACCTGGTAAGTAAATCAAATAAGATGTATTGAAGTTCTCGTGATAAGGAAGCCATGCAAGTACTGTATTTATGATATTTAAGAGTGTTTGGGTGAATAAGATCATATGCAGTCTTGTAATCCCAATTTTAAATTATACAAATTTTGTAAATAAGTTTACACTTGTGTTCTTAAGTAAAAATCTTATACCATATTTATAGTTTAATTTATTAGATTTTTTAAAAATTACTTAGAGTACTTGAGAAAGTTAGACAAAGTCCCTAAAAGAAAATAGAATGTATTAAATTTACACGCAATCGAAAACATTTAGAAGCATTTATCGAAGACTGTAGGGCGGTCTGAAGTTCAAGTGCATGTCCTTAAAAAGTGATTACACAGATTTGCTAGGCTGTCACAGCTGAACCTACAAGCTTAAGAAATAGTTTTTCATCTTAACTTTAATATATTAACTTTTTTGTTTAAAAAAAATCTATAAATGGCCTTTTTCTGGATGCGTGAATTCGCACACAAATCTGCCCCCAGCACCAAAAACTCCCATTAACAATGGTGTTATTTAAGCGTCTCACTAGTGACCTCCAGTGGCTGAAGAGAGAAATGACACATGTACGTTGAAAAATGTTAAACAGCCTTCATGAATTTATAGCTATTCTGTCCCTAGCAGATTTTTGTTTCAAATGGGGCTATTCAGCGGAAGAAATGGCTTTCACCTCTGACCTTCAGGACACCCACATTCAAATTTTAAAGAGCATTCTTGTTGTTTGTGTAAAAAACAAACTGAGACCTTACGGCACTCATTTGGAGGAAAAAAAAGCGTCACTCTGAAAATATTCGTGGTTTATTCAGTGTAAAAATACAGAGATGGGGAAATACGTTCACAGTCAACAGGTGCTGTTTTCCACCTCAGGTACGGGAAAGGAAAAGCATAAGATGTAGGGTTTCATAGTGTTGTCATTAAAAAAAAAAAAAAAAAAAACAGAATAGATCTAGGTTTTCATTCTGACAAAAAGACAGAGACAAAAGCCCGACCTAGACGCGACTCCACACCTCTGCAGGCTGCTGGGTGGCAGAGGAGACTCACGCCGGCGGAGCGGGAAATGTGTGCCCAGTGCTAGCACCGACCCATTTAACTCAGCGTGGAGCTTCGGGCCTTGCCTGACTCAGTTTTGTTTTTCTTCTAAGCAGGGGAGCTCTGCCCACTGAGCGTGCGAGGGCTTGGAAGGCAGGCACGAGGATCTCCCCTATTCATTTCCACCAGCCGTCCTTGCCGGAGAAGCTCTTCCCCGCCTCCTCGTAATCCTGCTCCAGGGCTGCCAAGTCCTCCCGGGCCTCCGAGAACTCCCCCTCCTCCATGCCCTCCCTGAGGTACCAGTGCAGAAACGCCCTCTTGGCATACATGAGGTCAAACTTGTGGTCCAGGCGGGCCCAGGCCTCCACGACGGCCGTGCTGTTGCTCAGCATGCACACGGCCCGCTGCAGCCCGGCCAGGTCCCCTCCCGGCGTCACCGTGGGCGGCTGGTTGTTGATGCCCACCTTGAAGCCAGTCGGACACCAGTCCACAAACCGGACAGGGTGCCTGGACTTCACGGCTGCGATGGCGGCGTTCACCTCCTTGGGGACCACGTCCCCTCTGTAGAGCAGGCAGCAGGCCATGTACCTCCCACGCCGAGGGTCACACTGGACCAGGTGGCTGGAGGGCTCGAAGCAGGCGGCAGTGATGTCCGCGACGGAGAGCTGCTCGTGGAAGGCCCTGTCGGCGGGGACAACGGGGGCGAAGGTTGTCATGGGGAAGTGGATTCTCGGGTAAGGCACCAGGTTGGTCTGGAATTCGATTAGGTCCACGTTCAAGGGCCCCCGAAACCGGAGGGAAGCGGTGATGGCAGACACGGCCTGGACCATCAGTCTGTTGATGCCGGCGTAAGAGGGGCGCTCGACGCCCAGCTTACGGTGGCACATGTCGTAGACGGCCTGGTTGTCCACGAGGAAGGTGCAGTCGGCGTGCTCGATGGTGGAGTGGGTGGTGAGGACAGCGTTGTACGGCTCCACCACGGCCGCGGAGACCCTGGGGCCCGGATAGACGGAGAACTCCAGTTTCGTCTTCCTGCCGTACTCCACCGAGAGCTGCTCCATCAGCAGAGACGCGAATCCCGACCCAGTGCCCCCTCCAAAGCTGCGAAAAATCAAAAATCCCTGAAGTCCGCTGCACCGCTCTGCCTGGGGGAAGGAAATGGGTGTGAGAACTCGGCCAGATAAATCCAGACGCCGTGAACTGGGTGGTACCAGTAGGACACAACAAATTCCCAAAAACAAACAGAAACTACTTTTGGAACAGACGGGTTTACCGTCGTCAAACCCACCATAAACGAGATTTGGTCTCAAAAAACAAATTAATAATAATAATAATAATAAGTAACCGATCTCCAGGTAGGGGGCGCCTCCTGTAAACTTCATAAATAGCGGTTACCACTGGAAAACGACAGTTTTAGAGTGCTTTGGAAGTCTCTGACAGCAAGATAAACCCTGTGTTCGTAGAAGCAAGGGAAATCAGAGTGAAGGCTCCGGGCCCTTCCCACACAGCAAGGTAGAAGCAAAGCCGACAGCAGGGCCCTGGGCCTCGCGTGGGCTCTGAGCACCCATGTGCAGGCCAGGGCGGGAGGGCAGGGGCGACGGTGGGGGCGGGCGGGTGATGCTGGTGAGAGGAGGAAAGGGGCCACTTGCCAGCTGCCGGGTCCTCTCCAGCACGAGGTCGATGACCCCGGATCCCACTGAGTAGCGGCCCCGGGCGTAGTTGTTGGCAGCATCCTCCTTCCCGCTGAGGAGCTGCTCCGGGTGGAAGAGGGCTTGGTGCCTCCCGGTCCGGATCCCGTCTGCAGAGGGTGAAAGGAGGTCAGTGCCCTCGGTCCAGTTCAGCTGCCAACCCCTCGGGAGTCCTCCCGGACCCTGTGCCCTGAGCCCCGCACTCCCCGCCAGCGTGGTGGTCAAGGAATGGAATCCATGCTGCTCAATTAGCCTTTCCTAGTCTGGGAAAATGGAGAATCCTTTACATATAAGTTGAAAGAGAGTTTTCCTACCATAAACGCTGTTTCAGTCTCCGAGGGCTGCTGTAACACATGACAACAAATTTGGTGGCTTAAAACATCAGAAACTTATTTCCTAACGGATCAGGAGGCCAGAAGTCCCAAACCAAGGCGATGGCAGAGTTGGTGGTTCCTTCTGGAGCCGCTGGGGAGAGCCCATTCCGCACCTGTCTCCCAGCGTCGGGCGATGGCTGACGTCCTGCTGCCCTTGCCTGGTAGCCGCCCCTCTCCAGTCTCTGCCTCGGGCGTACGAGCCTCCCCCAGCCCCGAATGTGTGTCTGTGTGCCTTCTCTCCTTATAAGGACACAGTTGTGTGGTTTTAGGGCCCCTCCAATCCAGGATGACTCAGCTTAACTACCTGCAAAGACCCTATTTCCAAGTAAGGTCACCTGCTGGGTTTCCAGGTGGATATGAATTTTGGGGGACACTCTGACCCCACTATACACCCTATGGCACTTTGGCATTTTGAGACAAGCATTCCCATGCACAAATAGCCCACTGCGTGCTGGAAAGGGACGTGGAAAGACGCAGCGATCTCAATTACCACTGGCCCACTTAAAAGCGGCTTCCAGTCCCGACGCGGCGAGCACGATGCACGCGCAGGGAACGGCATCACGACGTCGGCAGTGTTAAGTACCACCAAGAGCAACCCACGCCCGGTTTCACTGCCTTTTAAAACCCTGGCAGCACGCCCCACTGCCCCGCCTTAGAACCCAGTTCTGCTCTCAATACCTCAGTGATCTTAGGCAAGTTCCTTAACCTCCCCGAGACTCCGTTTCCTCATCCACAAATTAAGGATGACGATAATTTCTCCTGACAGGGTGTTGAAAGGAGTAAGGGAAAATACCCGTGCAGGTCCTCAGCCAGTGCAGAATCGTGACGGCAGACTGAATGGCTGTGTCTCCCCGGAATTCCCATGTTGAAGACCTAGTCCCCACACGGTGCTATCAGGAGGTAAGGTCTGTGGGAGGTGATTAGGTCATGCGGGTTGGCCCTCATGAGTGGGATTAGTGCCCTCGTGAGAAGAAACGTGGAGATGACCTCTCCACCCGGTAAGGACACACAGAGCCAGGAAGAGAGCCCTCCCCAGGAGCCAACCACAACTCACAGTATCAAACCCAAATCCACCTTCCTCTCCAGCTTCTCCCTTAAGTCAGTAAGACCCCCTTCTCTCTCCGGGATCTGTCTAGCTCCGTTTCAAGAGTTTTTGCACAAGATACTACAAAATCTGCCAAGAAGGCTAACCCAGTCTTCCCTTTGGGTGCGTTTGTCACGCTGATCACCCTAAATGGCCACTGTGTAGCCTCTAGCTTGGGAAAAGATGCAGATGATCCCGTTCCGATAGGTTAGTATAATCTGATAATCCCGCCCACTCGGTTTCTTTGTTTTGAGCGTGAACCTGGCCAAGTACCCTAGAATGTAAAATTTATTTAACCTATAACAGTTGGTTCCAAGTCCACGAAGAGTGCCCTGGGCACGTGCTTCCCAGCTCTCGTCTGGCAAAAGAAGGTATTGAAAGACGCGTTCTCTTGCTCCGTTTTAGCATTTTCCAGTGGATTCCTTTCGGGAATGATGCCGTCCGGCTGGATTCCATGTTCCAGGCAATAGAGTTCCCAACAAGCGTCCCCGATCTGGACGCCGGCCTGACCAACGTGGATGGAAAGGCACTCCTTCTGGAACAAGACACAGTGAGTCGGACAACAGGAGCTACGTTACTTAGCACTTCTGGGTACAAATGGCAGAGCCAAGCTAGCTCACGGCCACAGAGAAATTTATTATAAGATAATCAAAAGTGTTTCATGGAAACCAAAAGCCAGGGTACAGCTAAGCTTCAGACACAATTAAACCAAGGGCTTAAATTCCATTAAAATCTTATTTCAACAACGTAAACTAAGCATCTACTCCATACTAGGCTAAGAACTAAGACTACACACACACACACACACACACACACACACATATGCATGTAGGCACTTGTAACTCAAGTCAGAATACAGCTGATTTAACTTCACCCTTTTAATATAGGTGAGATATATATATGTGTGTATGTTAGGTTGATTTACCCAGAAAAAAAAATTAGCTAGCTATTTCAAAGAAATTAAACTAAAATCAATATATAGCCTTTTCGGTTATTAAAACCCATTGCAGGTAAATCAAGAATGTTATCTTTTCATGCCTTGAGATGTTACATTTACCATTCATATATGCTGTAAATAAGAATGGATATTCAATCTAAACTTAAAACTAGTGGAAAATTTTACAAGGAAAAATGCAATGGACTTAACAACCCCAAAATGTAAAACTTCCATACCATAACAAATTTACATATATAAAAATTGATTTTTATATAGCTCAAATTTTACATACATCAATTTTTTAAAAAAACACTTGAGACATCAACTGGATAAATAGGCAAATCACATAAGCAAATGAATTACAAAAGAAAGATTGTCAAATGCAAAGATTTAGACCCAATGGCATTCACAGCATTATAGTTTATAAACAAGAAAACCCACAACCAATCTACTTAATCTACCTAACCGTGCATCTGCTGTTGGATACTCACAAGGATGGTACATCAATGCAATAGCATGTTATGCAAGCCTTAAATGTTTACCCCAGAAAAATGATTTATGACATGGTAAATGTTTATGATAACATATTAAGTAAAAAGCACGTAAGGTGCATAATTTTTTTATATGTTAAGTATGATGTCAAATACATTCAAAAATAGGCATAAAAAATCTAAAAGAAAATGCACCAGGATATTGACTCCAATTATATCTGGCTAGTGATTTTTTTTCTTGTCTAAACTTGACTATTTTCTTCCTCTCTCATCAGCCTCCACACCCCCCACATTCCACTTTTAAATCACCATTCACTTTTTTCCTAAGGCGAACACTTATTTTGGTAATTTAAACAGACACAATGATCTGCTGCTTTAAGAGAGGGAATGAAAAAGTTAAATCCTAAAAATCTAAAGTGACAGCAGTTGCTGATTTTAATATTGGTGCAGTTTATGCCAGTGATGCTGGAATAAATCCCTGCAGGGGTCTTATAGAGGGAGACCCACCGTCGTCTGCGTCATCTGGGTCTTTCACGCATCCACCAGATAAGCTGAGGAGCGACTCTGCCCTTGTCCAAGACTGCATGACCCCAAAGCCTGAGATTCAACTACAGAAAGACCTCAGGCCCCCGGCAATCATGGGGCTGTGGTTTACTAATCCGAGGGAAGGAGGGAGGGAGCTCTGGCCGGCCACACCCTTGCAGTCTGGCTTGGACTCTGTTCGTGTTCAGGGGCATCGAACCCTTGCACTTTGTCTCGGTGATTCACAAGACACAACACGGCCCTCTTTGCTTCCTGAGAAACGCAGCTTCACTGCTTTAGTAGAAATTCCACCTGTTTCTTCTCTGTGCGACAAGCAGTCGTCTCTCAAGACAAAAGCCACAAACGTAATTTAGAAAGCACTTCACTTAGTACCAGCTAATATTCCAGCCTCTATTTGGATCAAAGCAACGCATTCCATTACAAACAGGCTTCTTTGAATACCCTTATCTGCAAAGCACAGTTTTCTTTTTCTCCCCTCCTGTTGGACTGAATACGCTGTAAATACATTAGCTATTAATACTGTAATCGGATCAAAACCTGGTTTCCTGAATTTCAGTTAAAATTTTAGAAGGGAAGAGGGGATGTTCACTGCTTCTCCATCATTAAAACGTCTCACTTTTGTAAAGTTTACATGTAGGTTTCTCTCACTAACTCCCTCAGCTGTCTCCCACCCAGCCCTGCACGCTACTGACATGTAAAATTGAGGCATAGATGTGGCATTTGCTCACAACGTTCCCACTTAAAATAATCACTAACATAAAAAAATTGCTTTTTCAAGTGGTTCAGACATCAGAGTGGTACTGTTCTTTTTAAACTCAGCAGGAAAAACTCAGCCCAATAAACATCTTCGTTTTAGAAGCAGCTGAGTTTATAACATAACTGTGCATCCAAGGGTATATTAATAGAAGACTATCTTCACCTTATTTTTCTCTTAGTTTCTCCCTCTTGTCCAAACTCTCTATTAAAATATTAGTCAAACTATAAAATAGTATAAGATTGTAAAATGCCCCTTACCCATTTTCCCCAATGGGAATATCTTGTGGGACTGTAATACAACTTCACACCTGGAAGGCTGACGTTGATACAGTCAAGATGCAGAGCATTCCAGTACCACAAGCATCCCTCAGGGTGAAAGGCAGAATTTTTAAAAGCAAAACAATTTTTAAAAATGTTGGACAGAGAGTCCAATGGGGCAGGAAGACCTGAGAGGAAAAAGCATTTTGAAAGCCTGCTTCCATGAAAGAACTAAAAATTCTAAGATACTGAAAATTACTCACTGGCACAGAAGAGAATGAAAGGGAGGTGGATCGGAAACGGTAGTCCCCGACTCAGAATTACTGTAAGCAATTAGAACACATTCGTTATCATGCCCCAGGTACAAAACTCAAGAGAGGTAAAGATGTCTGTGCACTTTATCCTGCCAGGCATTTATGAGGTTAGCGCCGTGACCTGAGTCTGAAGTCCCCAGAAACTCTTAACAGCGTAACTAAAAGGGAAACAATTGATGTCTACAGAAAAATCAGCACACCCGGCCTAAAACAAAAGTAAAAATTAAAGGTAACTGTTGCTTGAGCACTTCAATTAAAGTCAATGAATGACTACAAATCAGCAAAGTTTTACCTTAAAAAAAAAAAAAAAGCAAAACCACAGGTGAGTAGAGGAGAGCCCGTCTAACCCTGCTTCCAACTCAGGTACACGGATTGAAACCAATGTCTTTTTAAATATTTCTTCTCTTGTATTAAGAACTTACTAAGAATTGTTTGCTGGGGAAATGGGCCAAATGTGGAGAGTCAGATTTGCTACGACAGCGAATCAGCTGTCCACGGGCAGAAGGCAGAGCCACTTACCATGCTGACACAGAGCAGCCCCTGCCCGCGGTAATGATTGAAGGATCCAGGAGCTTTTCCAGCCAAGCTCTGTCGCAGGGCCCGGAAATGACTCCACCTGAGGGCTGAAGCTCTGTCTTCACTTAAAGCAGTACAGCTTCTTTTTAATTTTTTTGTTCTCTGGTCTCAGAGTCGCTATGATGGGCCTGAACAACCTGGGATAGAGTTTGTGCTGAAGTACCACGCGCTTATCCAAATCTACTTCCAGCTTATACCTGTGTTGAAAATAACAAGTGTCTTTAAAAAATCCTCCTCTTGGCCAGGCGCTGTGGCTCACGCCTGTGATCCCAGCACTGTGGGAGGCCGAGGTGGGAGGATCTAGCTTGAGGTCAGGAGTTTGAGACCAGTCTGAGCAAGAGTGAGACCCCGTTTCTACTAAAAACAGAAAAATTTAGCCAGGCATGGTGGACACCTGTGTCCCGACTACTCAGGAGGCTGAGGCAGGAGGATCGCTTGAGCCCAGGAGTTTGAGGCTGCAGTGAGCTATGATGCTACTGCACTCCAGCCTGGGTGACAGAGTGAGACTCTGTCTCAAAAAAAAAAAAAAAATCCTCCCCTTATATTAAGAATTTATTAAGCATTGCCAAAGAAAAGGAAAGCGTATGAGTAAAATTTGTTGCAACAGCAAGTAAGCTTTTTCTATTGCATAAATACCAGACGAATATCTTCTCCTTAAATGAGATTCAAACAATCCCTAAATACATAGAGCAAACCAGGCCCCTCAACCACTACCACATCCAAACATACAGGGGCTTTGTTTTCATTATTTATTTTATTTTAAATTTTTATATTATTATTCATAACATTATTTTCAATTCATTGCATCGAGATCAGATAACATAGTTAAAATGATTTTTTTCTTTATGTATTTGTTAAAACTTCCTTTATATTTTGCTATGTGGTCAATTTTTGAAAATGTTCCATGAATGCTTGAAAAGAATACAATGTTTTAGATAGATGCATTAAATCAAACTGATTTATCATCTAGTCCAAATTTTGAGTATCCATTATGTCAAACGATGTGTTAAAATTTTCTGTGGTGATTGTAGATTTGCCTACTATTTCTTATTCTGGCAATTTTTGCTTTAGAGAGAGAGAGAGACTATGTTACTAAGAGTATATATAGACAGAGATTTTAAATTGTTCTATTTTCTGTGGAATCAAAACTTTTTATAATTCTTAAATGACTCTTTACCTATATTAATGAGCTTTGCCTTAAAGTGTTTATGATAAAATATTTATATTATCATCCCTACTTTAACATAGGTTTTTTTGGTTAGTGTTTGAATGATGTCTTTTCCCATATTTTTACATTCTTAGAAACTGAAAAACCTTTCAGCACTGTATTTTGGATATGTCCTTCGTACGTATAAACATAGCTGAATTTTTTCCTATTTTTATCTTTCCATGGGAGAATTACATTTGATATGATAATATAGTTAGATTTAGATATACTATTAATATCCTATTTTGTGCTTTCTGTTTGTTCCCATATTCTAAGTTGCCCTTTCTCTCTTTTCTGGTCTTCTTTGAATTATTTTTTTTTTAGCATAGTAACAATTTTATTATTCAGTAATCAAAATAAAATTTTTATCACTCAAGAATCTTGGTTTGTACTACTTGTTCCTCACAACTCTGAGACAATGAAAAAACTATAGTGTTTTGGGGCCGTTTTCTCTGGAACTTATTATGAGTTATACTTATCTCTGGTTTTGATCTTCATAAAGTCAACTCCTCTCTGTCAATAATTCCCCCAAATTTTCAGGGCCCTGGTACTTCCATATAACAAAAAGGAGGAGTAAGCTATAAAGTCAGAGTGATATTCATTTTATTGCTGTATCAAATTACTCCCATTGGCCCCTGATATTTTCAGTTTGAAACGAGACGAAGGAAAAATCAGATAATCTGAATATCTCATTGCCAGTCCACTGACATACTCAGTATTGTTCGTTAGTTTTTAAAAATTCTCAACCTGGCAGGGCGCGGTGGCTCACGCCTGTAATCCTAGCACTCTGGGAGGCCGAGGCGGGCGGATTGTTTGAGCTCAGGAGTTCGAGACCAGCCTGAGCAAGAGCGAGACCCCGTCTCTACCAAAAATAGAAAGAAATTAATTGGACAGCTAAAAATATATAGAAAAAAATTAGCCGGGCATGGTGGCGCATGCCTGTAGTCCCAGCTACTTGGGAGGCTGAGGCAGTAGGATCGCTTGGGCCCAGGAGTCTGAGGTTGCTGTGAGCTAGGCTGACGCCACGGCACTCACTCTAGCCCGGAGTGAGACTCTGTTTCAAAAAAAAAAAAAAAAAAAAAAAATTTCTCAACCTCACTTAGAGTTATGATCAGCTCAGATTTGCAAAAGAATTAGAATAAAATTAGAAAATCCCTTTTGCAATATAATTTAAGAAAAGTATCTTCTCATAATTCCATTTTTCTTTGGAAAACTACTTTTTAAAGGAAAAATGTTGTGAATAATTGAGTGGAATCAGAAGTTGTCCAGTGAACGAAAATTGGACGCTGTCGCCCTGCATAAACAACAGGATTCTGTTCCCCACCAGAATCTCTGCGCTGACATCCTGGAGCATCTGTCACTGCAGGAGTGATCATTACAAGTTCCCAGAGGACTGACCACTTCTGATGGCACCAGCAAAACCGGTTGCAGGACCTGCAAGGCTGAGGACAGACTCTGAATTCTGAGGATCTCGCCAACGTATGTATTAGGTTGAAACTATGAAACTGTTGTTTCTGTGGGTAAAAAGGTCGAATGTCAGTGATTTCATGTGGTTTTATCTAAATATTTGTGTCCTAGGAAGTTCTCTCTGGGTGGAGGCCAACTCCCTAAATGACATTTCTGTATTCTTATTCTCTAACTAATACAAAGCAATACTCTCTTCTTTAATTTTGGGGGAGGAATAGAAGATACAATAGAAGTGGTTCTTCGCTAAGGGCATCTTACTCCTTAACTTCGTTCCCTTTTTAAAATTAAAACATGTTTTTACCCCTCGTGTTATAAAGATAATGCAAGTTCAGTATCTCCTTGTTTTTAAAAAAATATACTAAATGTAAGAAATTAAAAATAAATTTTTTTAAATACCCAAAGTTTGACCACCTAGAGACATTTTAATACATTGACTTTATTCATAACTCTGAATATGCGAAATATACCTCTGTATTCCATGTTTTGTTTAAAATTACCGTACTATTTTATTACACACTTCACAGTTCATTTTTATTGGCTGGATGTATTATTTTCAGTGGATGAGCTGTAATTAGCCATTTCCCTATCATTAATATCTTCTTATAGATATAGTTTTATTACTTAGGATGAATTCCCAGAAATGGAATAACAGTGCCAAGGGAGAGGCTATTTTTAAAGCCTTTGACACATGTAAAGCAATATTTAAAATCAAATAATGGGTTGTTTAGCAATTTTCTTTTTCACTTGAGAAGGTCCTTTACTTTCCGTCGTGCCTTCTGCCGCCTTGTACGAGCGGAGGATGAAGTCACCCCTCCCCCCACCCCACCCCCGTCCCATCTTGCTAGGGAGAGACTGTCCCTTCCTTATGGGGAGACAGGAGGGTGCATCATGACTTTTCACCGGTTTCCTGGAGACGGCCCTGGGAACACACTTCCAGGACCTTTGGTAGTTGGGAATATATCTCATATCGGCCGTATATACCCGATAACTGAGCGTGCATATGGCCAGTAACCAAGCCTCCCTTCAGGTCATTACTTTCAACCTCTCTTCTCCCCAAATGCTAAGAAAGATCTAGTGACCCAAGATGCTTCCAGTCCATTTGCCTTGGCCTGTATGAAAGTCCCAATAATAGTGAAAGCGCCGGGCCTTGGGCGTGCAGAGGTGGAGTCAGAATTAAAGCCGAGCTTCCCAGACTCCCTGCCGGCCACCTGCGCTCCCTTTCTCCGGCTCCTTAGGGTCCCCAGTGGCCGCGAGGGCGAGGAGGGCGGGACTCCGCGTCTCCTAGCAACCTACACCCGCTCTCTGATTGGCCAGTCGCTGCGCAGCCGCCATTTTCAAATCCCCGGATGACGGCGGCGGCGGGTCCCCGCTGACAGGCGCTTTCTGCCTGGCACAGGCCGGCGGGCACCGTGCCCGCCCCTGCCGGTCTCCCGGGCACTCGGCCACCGCCCCACCCCCTCCTCCGTGCCATGGAGCCCGAGCTGGCGGCTCAGAAGCAGCCCCGGCCGCGGAGGAGAAGCCGTCGGGCCTCTGGGCTGAGCGCGGAGGGCGCCGCGGGGCCTTCTGCCGACACGCCCGGGCCGGGGCCGGAGGAGAGGTGAGCGCGGGGCGGGTGAGGGCCGGGGAGGTGAGTGCGGGAGAGGTGAGTGTGGGGGTGGAGCGAGGGCCGGGGTAGGAGGTAAAGGGGGGAGCGGGG